TTCTGAGGGTTAATTCAGAAGATGTCATTGTGATTAGTTTTATTTATTTTTTTTCTATACAATAATAAAGGGGCAGAGCAGACTAAAAATTGTGGCACTGCCCATGGGTTCAATCAGGTTTGACCTCAGAGCAGACTAGAAATTCTGGCACTGCCCATGGGTTCAATCAGGTTTGACCTCAGAGCAGACTAGAAATTCTGGCACTGCCCATGGGTTCAATCAGGTTTGACCTCAGAGCAGACTAGAAATTCTGGCACTGCCCATGGGTTCAATCAGGTTTGACCTCAGAGCAGACTAGAAATTCTGGCACTGCTCATGGGCTCAATCAGGTTTGACCTCAGAGCAGACTAGAAATTCTGGCACTGCCCATGGGTTCAATCAGGTTTGACCTCAGAGCAGACTAGAAATTCTGGCACTGCCCATGGGTTCAATCAGGTTTGACCTCAGAGCAGACTAGAAATTCTGGCACTGCCCATGGGTTCAATCAGGTTTGACCTCAGAGCAGACTAGAAATTCTGGCACTGCTCATGGGCTCAATCAGGTTTAACCTCAGAGCAGACTAGAAATTCTGGCACTGCCCATGGGCTCAATTAGGTTTGACCTCAGAGCAGACTGGTTGAAAAGAGGAAGGTCAAGAATGGCTCGGGATAAAGATGCCATCGCCTTAGTGGCCTCAGCTGAGCAAATACACAGGGAGCAGGAATGGGCACAACAACTGACAGACGAAAACGCTGGGCTAGAGGATGCAATAGTATACTGTCGAGGATATGCAGGAGTGCGAGGAAATAAAAGAGTGGATTTTCTGGCTACAAAGGCGATAGCTACAGAAACTCTTGTACTGGACAAGAGAGGCAATCTGAGGACCATCTATGAACAAATACTGATAGAAGACATGAGGTTACATGAAATATAGAAATAAGGAATCGGGCGTGGATCAGGCGAGGAGGGGCGCATGAGAGGAAGAAAACGAGTTTATAATCAGTGTTCTACAGGAACAGTTAGCATCCACACCTTAAGAAATTTGCTGCGGGAGACAAGAGCACCTATTGATGTCGATTTTTAAATGAAGTGTTTAATGTAGCTATTTAAAAGTGTGTGTCATATGCTGATGTAGGCTTTTTAGCTGCAATGTTAATTTTGTCAATCGTAATTGTCATTGGTGATTTCAGAAATGAGAAGACATTTCTACCTTTCGACTGGGTTGATCAAATCAAACATAGCTGAGGAGTCAAAGAGGATTTTTTACCAACTAAACTAATGTGCAACTATCTAACCAAACAACAATATGTATTGTATATAAAGACAATTGAGGAAAAAAGGACAATTGAGGAAAGCAATAACATGATAATAATGGTTAGCATGAAATCAGTGTTCATCACAACAGGATATTACAGTTCAGCATAAAACCAACATTCTACAACACAATAGAATTGTAAAGTTTAGGAAAAAATCAACATTCTTTTATGCAAGCAAAAACATAAAAGCTATCAAATGAACAACATAAAAATGTGAGGAAAAAATAAATAATACCTACCAATGGTAAACACGTTCAAGAACGAAGTGTCCAGCATGCGTCACGAAAACGGAAACCGCAGCCACATTCTTGTGTCTGACACAAAAATACAGCTGCCTGGCTGAAGAGTGTTCTTTAACACGCCGTTTAAAACAAGCAGAAGTTCAAACAAAGCTTGAATACGGATTAGTTAACATGAAAACAGCCAAAATAAAGCAAGGCTTCTGTCTGCAGCAAGTTTCGGCCACATCAGATATATTTAGCACTAGTCATGCATCAGTTTCTATGTTGATAATTGAGCTAGAGCAAGTTACAAGATCTGTTGAAAAAATGTCCAACCTGTTACCAGAAAAATCACAATCAATGCTCTAGAGGGTGAAAACTCCATATTCAAAGTAGCCTCCTTCTGACTGTGTGCACTTGTCCAAGCAGTACACCATTACTACAAGCCACAAGCATTTGAATTTAGTTTTTGTTCGGAAATGAAATACAGCTTGGCTATGGCAATCCACATTTCTCGTGGCTAAAATTAGTTCCTTGTGAGCTGCACTTTCAGTCTGAGGAACAGCTACAAATCTCAAGCAACCATGCTGGGATAGTGTGGAGGCTGACAAACTAAATGTATGTACTGTATTGTCATGAGAGACCTGCAAAGCTCACACTACTGGGAGATTGCTTTATTCCTTTATTTTGCACTGAACAAATTCATGAAATCAATGAATGACCTCCAGGTAGTATTGGTTGAAAATCTAGCAGGTGTTCAGGTACATCAGGAAGGGAATAGGGAATCTGACTACAGAAAGGTTGGGGACTGAGCATCTGAGAAGAAGCACACTACATACATGTAATGGCAACAATGTTTCTGAAATCCTATGCTCTAATTGTGGATAATTTTCCTTAATGTGCCAGTCACACCTGCCAACCCCCACAGGCTGTGTTCCCACACTTCTCCCCCTCCCCCACAGCACAATATCATACTGAATGTCTGGAAATACAGAAAGGTGCCAACAACCCACACACTGTTCAATCACAGGCCAACAAGCCAGTGACTAATACTCCATACAGGAGGGGAAAAACTCATGTACAAGCAGGAAAGTCCCTAACCTCCATCCAGCCAGAGATCACCTCTCAGGCTTGATTCCTTTCTGTGGGAAACATTCAGGTCACACACTTTTTAAACAGACCCTGTATAGCAAGGCTTCCAAAAACGACTACTAATAAAACTGCAGGCAGAAGACAATTAACAGCGGCCAATTGATTTGTGATGAATTACTGCATTCTTTTTCGTGTTCACTAGTTTTAAACTCTGACGGAAAGTTCTAGCTGTCTGTTCACTTTGGACTTTTTGTTTTGTTCCAAGATTTGAATTTTGAAGGTATATCTATTTTACAGATCTGGCTTATTTGTGTGCAGACTTCTGGTTCCTTGCCTCTCCAGGAGGTGCACTTTGACTACAAGTTAACCCAGTTGCTTCTAAAAATGACTAATAATAAAACTCAGGCGGAAGCCAATTATCAACTGGCTGACTGGTTGGTGGAAAAAAAATTTCCAATTACTGGCTTATTTGTGTGCAATCTGTTGGTTCCTTGCCTTTCCTTGGGAGATGCACTCCTACTGCGAGTTAACTCGGTAAGAAACTTACAGCAGTTACCACCTCGCTGCACAGCAGTTTATTTTACATTATAATAAAGCCATTAAACGCCAAAGCCTCCGCTATTTTATTTATACAGTAAACTCTACCTGGCCTACTTTCAACCAGATAAAATTGAGGGTTGGTTTTTTATTCCTTGAGTCAAACGGCGTTAACCTCCTGCTGCTAGAACTAGGCCAAAATCACCTACGAGTATCCCTATGTGTTTCAAAGCTTCTTGGATTGGGAGGGGGGTGGGGGGAGGGGTTGGAATCACCCTCTTTCCACTGAAAAGCTTGTCATAAGTGGCGAATAATTTAAGAACGAATATGATGGTGTGAAAGACGCAGACATCAGAGACTAGCGTAAAACACAACAAGCCAACCATCGCTTCAAGAGTGATTGGGTAATTCAAGGGTAATTGTGGTGATCTTTCACCTAAGTATATAGTTATTTGTCACTTCTGTACAATATGCCAACAGCATACATGTAAATTCCTACTCCAAATAGGTGAAAATTAAAGTATTACATTTCACGCAACTACACAATTTTTATTTGCCATAATATGATTTTTAAGAAAGATCTGTCTTCAAACAAGATATTTTTTTTCAAAACGAGGATTTAGCATTGAGGTTGCTTTACCAAAGCGCCAACGATATTTTTTATTGATCAATCAGAACTCGGTGAGTTATATATACTGCTAAGAACACTTCCTGGTGCTAAGATTAGGTCAACCAGAAAAATCGGTTTCATCAGGGGTGCGAACTTATGACTCTAAATTATGAGATAACCAACCAACAAAATGCATCACTATAAGGATACGGATAAGCCAAGCCAAAATTGCATTCCATAAATTGAGAAGCATTGTTAGCAAAAACAAAACATGTCATTGGAAATGAACAAGTGTTATATACAGGTCATCTTATTATATATGGTGTTAATTATGGACAATGACCAAAAAACAAGAGAAAAAGGACTGCAGGTGTGTGTGAGTGTGCGCTTTTTTTAATCATTAAACAATAAGGCTAAAATATTTATTCCTTATCAGGAAAGAAACAACAACTTTTAGGCTCCGCACAACGCAGTCTTAAAGTATACATAAAATATGCATAAAAGAATCTGCCACTCGTAAATTTGGAGCAGACAGACAGATCCCTGAGCAGGATTGCTTTAACTACTCCCACCAGAGATTCTGGATCTGGACCAGAGAAACTACATGAAAAGCTATGGAGGACTGACCGCAACCTTAGACACACAGTTCTGTGTCACCCAGATGGGACTAGATGTTTGGCCTAGTTGATGTCATATGCAGAAACAAATTTTTTGTGAAGAAAAAAAAACAGAGAGACATATAAGCCCCAACAAAATATGTTATTCTCCTGCGTGTGTTCCGGGGACTCACTGTTTTGAAAATAAGAACTGACCCGCTGCCTACCCAAAAGAATGTTGTAAGCGTTGACTAACTGGGAGCCCTCTTCAAAGTCGGAATGCATCTCTCTGACAGGTAAGGAACCAACAGTCTGCACATAAATGAGTCAGATTTATTAAATGGATGTGCATGCAAAAGTGAGCTTCTAGAATAGAACTAGAGTCCAGAAGTGGACGAACATTAAGAACTTTCCAACAGAGTTTAAAGCATGAACGCAAAGAAGAAGAATAAGAATGTCACTATTTTCCTACTCTCTTATATCACATACACAAAACTTTAATCCCTACTATGTTTCTCCAATAGTATATCATGAAATTACAAACAATCCAAGGGTTAAAAAAAAAAAAAATAACCAGTTCCAGTTGAGAAATATAACTACTGATGAAACGGTCCCCACCCAGCAAATGTGTGCAAATGAAGTCTCTCACCTGTATCTTGGGTGCCTCTTTCATCCGCTGGTCCTGTGGGATTGTGTTGGTTACCACCACCGCCTCAAATGTGGAGTTGTTTATACGAGAGATTGCTGGTCCGGAGAAGATACCGTGGGTGCAGATGGCATAGACTTTCATGGCTCCGGCTTCTAACAACCTACAAAAATTAAGATATAACTTTGGTTTACTGTAATAAAAGCTGTAATCCCTTTCTAGTATAAGACCATTATAGCTGGGGAAAATACAAAACACATTCACATTAGAGTCTGAAAAAGCTAAGGTAATAACTTATATGACAGGGCTTCTCATGAAAACCTTATAAGTGCGACATAAATTTCAGTAACCATGGCATTGCCTTGTGAACTGTCGCTATTGTTATGGATGCCAAGAGTTTTAAGCACATGACATCAAGGTGTAGACAAACACGGCAACGCCATAATGACAGTTTAAATATGGCCATCCCACTTTTAACATGCACCAAAGGAGCAGTGCTCTGCTTTCATTTTTTTTTTAAATCGGTGAAAGAGTAAAAAGGAATTTAAAAATAGAGTAAAGGAATAGGTTGTAAGAAAGTGCATCTAGACTTTGTGTATGTTTATTTAGGAGCAGACGTGAACAAAAGGGCAAAACACAGGGTTGGATTCATTCTTGACCCCATGTTAACTAAAAGAATAATAAACACCAAGCACATCTCAGAAAGAATTATAAAAATTATAACAACGAAGTAAACACACCGTTAAAATATATGCTCTGGGAAACGCAACTAAAAATGATGGAGAAAGCGAAGAATTCTTCGACACACTAAATGACAAAAATAAAACCAAATCAAGAAAGAAGAAAATGTTATCATTATGGGTGATTTCAATGCAAGAATAGGACACTGGAAGGGAGCAGAGGAACACACTGGAAGGGAGCAGAGGAACACACTGGAAGGGAGCAGAGGAACACACTGGAAGGAAGCAGAGAAACACACTGGAAGGGAGCAGAGAAACACACTGGAAGGGAGCAGAGGAACACACTGGAAGGGAGCAGAGAAATACACTGGAAGGGAGCAGAGAAATACACTGGAAAATTCGGAGAAAAACAAAAATGGCTTCAGGCTGTTTGAGCTATGTTATAAGCAGGATTTATTCATAACTAACACTTGCTTCCAACACCGGCAGTCTCACAAATATACATGGTATAAATGGAACGATCTGAACTGTAAAAGTCAAACAGACTATATATACTAACCAAGAGAAACATGAGACGAATGGTAACAGATGCAAGAGCAATCCCAAACAACTGTGTTGACACTGAGAACAAGGCGGTCATGTTAACCTTGATGGTGTACGGTGGAAGGAATCCCAGACGACTACATTCAACCACAAAAGAAACATGCACAATTAATAACTTAAAATATGCTAACACACAAAAAGCATACCTTCAAACAATTACTAAAGATTATGCCAGGCTGTCTGAAAAAAACCAAATCAGTAATGAAGGTATGGGAAATGTTTAAAAGATCAATTTAAGAAGCAACAAGAGAAACATAGGGAATAGTAAATAAGAGAATAACATAACCAATAATAACACCCTCATGGAATGAGGAAGTAAAAACATCAGTAAAGAAGTAGAAATGTAGATACCAGGCATGGGCAAAAAGTAAAAATGAAGATGATCTTGAAGAACACAGAGCGGCAAGAATGACAGAAAAAGATGTTTCCAGAAACGTCAACAAAAAAAAGATCATGGCAGAAATACAGTGAAATGTTGAAAGCTGACCATAAAGGTGCTACGAAAAACTTTTATATCCAAATTTAAGTTATAAGAGGTAGAAACGAGCATTATGACCCAAAAGAAAGTCTAAATGAGAAGATGGGAGCTCCCTTAGACCAGGCAATCATAGCACCAACAGCAGTACAACTACAAGAACATATTAAAAGACTCCACTCAGAATGCGACAACTATAATATGAAGATCAATGCAGACAAAACAGAAGTGATGACATTCTTCAGAAAAGGAAGAACCACCAATATAAAAATGATGAATACCGGTTAAAACAGACAAATGAATTTACATTTATGGGGAGCATTTTTTTGAAAAGACAGACAAATTGTTAAAGAAATCCAGCAAAGATGAAATAAAGCCAATCAAGTATTAGGCCAAATGGTACCAATTTTGAAATGCAAGCATGTGAATAGGAACACTGAACAAACACTGTTTAACAGATTATTCTTACCAATGCTATGCTATCAGTGTCAAACACAGACACTGTCTTCGGAAGACAGAAGTAAAAATGTCACAACAGAAATGACATGTTTACGTACTATACTAGATGTAACGAGGAAAGATTGACTTAGGAATGATGTTCTAAGGAGGACAGTTGGCACAGAACCAATACTGAACTTTACAGCTAGACAGCAAATCAAATAGTTTGGCCATGTAACATGCTGGCATCATACAGGGCAATAGAGAGCAATGTTATGCAGATACAGTGGTAACAGCCAGAGGTCGACCATGCAGATTATGGACTGCACAAATATCAGAAATGCAAAGAAAGAGAGTTTTCTCCTTCTTTGGGTTCACCAGCTGTAAACTCTGGCGAAAAGTTCTGGTTTTTCGTCCACTTCTGAACTGCAGTCCTGTTTCAGAACCTGAGTGTTACGAGTGCATCTGTTTGATAGATCTGACTCATTTGTGTGAAGACTGCTGGTTCCTTGCCTCTCAGGCAGATGCACTCCGAGTTAGAAGAAAGCTCCCAATTAGTCGACTCTTACGACACACTTTTGGGTAGGCAGTGGGTCTATTCTCGTTTTCCCTATAATAGGGCCCCGGAACCCACACAAAGAAGAAAGAGAGTAAAATCTACAGCAATATAAAGCCTCCTCACAGTTGTTTGCATTTCCTTTACAGGATGTCACAAACCAACTCCAACATTCGCTGTGGCTGTTTTTTGGTAGGGTCCATGGACCAAAGAAGTTTGGGAAGCCCTGATATGGAACAGTTAAATACAAAGTTGTCCACATCATGCAGAGCAAACCTCAGGAAGGCGATGTAGATAAAAAGAAAACAATGACTGCAGATAGGGTGAGGGCTAAATGTCTAAGAAGAAGCATGTTTAATACCTGCACTGGCAACAATGGTCCTCCTCATTTGTAGTCACCAGCTGTAAACTCCAACAGAAATCTATGCTGGACTACGGTCTTGTTCCCGAACTTGAGTTTTGCCTGCACATCAGTTTTGCAGATCTGGTTTATTAGTATGCAGCCTGTTGGTTCCTCGTCTCTCAGGGAGATTACTCCGACTCTAAACTGAACATGCCTAGTCGACTTTTACGACATGCTTGCTAGGGGGCAGTGAGTCTATTCTTGTTCACCCCAAAATGGGGACCCCGGAACCCACTTGGGAAAACGATGGTCCGGAAATCCCACGCTTCTCGTGAGCTCAGTATAACAATGAGATTAGCTGAGAGGAACAATGTCATTAACTCAGGTTTGATCCCACATGGATCGGTCTCTCTCTACATAACCATCTGCTCCAAGGGTTGCACAAAGCACAAACTTTGTAGCTATGGTGATGATCCACAGAGATCTCCATAAACAATTCACTCGTGAACTGAATAGTGTAGGCGTGAAACTAATAACACTATCATGTGGAAAGACAGAAAGGTGTCAAAAGGTCACTAAAGCAAAGCAAAGTTTCATTTTGTCACTTACTTTTCTGCAGCGTGGCATATGGTGCCACATGTGTCAGCCATATCATCAACCAAAATGGCAATTTTGTCTTTAACATCCCCAACCAGGACCATAGCTGCTACCTCATTTGCTTTTTTCCTTTCTTTGTGGATAAGAGCAAAGTCCACATTGAGGCGATCGGCAATGGCTGTCACCCTGTTTAGATGGAAAATCAAGAAGAATCAAAATTTGTACCAAGTTAAATTTTACATTTGTACCAAGTTAAATTTTACTATGAAAATAGATTACATACATTTTTACTAGGGATCACTGTTTTTGTCTGGTTTCCAGGGGCCCGTTTTGGGTAGTTGGGGGGGGGGGGGGGGGGGGGGGGGGGGGGGGGGGGGGGGGGGGAGATAAGCCATTGCCTTTCTAACAAGTATGTCATCATACAATGTGACTAATAAGAGGTGCTTCCTACAATGTTGGAGTCCATTTGCTTGGGAGGAGAGGAAGCAACAGTCTGCATACAAATAAGCCAGATATGTAAAACGGAACATGACCAATCTCCAGAAGTGGACAAACAACCAGAACTTTCTGTTGGCAGTGTACAGCCAGTGAACACTAAGAAGAAGAAGACTAGGAATCACTAGAGAAGAAAGCTGGGGCCTCTTAAATATGAAGATCTTTTGTGTAACATGGACCAAGAATTTAAAAAAAAAATTTAACCTTATGAATACAGATAGAGCTAAAGATAGAGCTAATAAACAGTATCATTTATCATAAAATGAACAGTTTTGGCCATATTTAAACCATAATAGTTTGGAGAGAACCGTAATAGAGAGTATGGTTCCGGAAAATAGAGGCAGCGATAGATCAGGACGATGACAGACACAGGATTTTAAGGACCTCTTGGATATGAAAACTGGCAGAGGACTGAGCGAGACAATTTGACTTGATTAGAGCAGTCTACAAAAGACCTGCTACATGATAAGGACTAGAAAATTCATAAAGACATAAAAGTTATTGTTTCCAGAAAAGCTTTATTCAACAAACATTAAAATAGACAGACAGAAGCCAGAACAATGCTGAAAAACAGACAAATAACACATTTTGTAAATAGTCACTAGAAAGCTCAAAGGGCAAGGATACAATTTATTGTTTTCATTAAAGCCTTTTTCAACAACAAATTTAACAGACTTACAAACAGAACACTCTGCTGTGGAGAGGAGGAGCCGGTGGGGGGGGGGGGGGGGGGGGGGGGAGGGGGGGGGGGGGGGGTGGGGGGGGGGGGGGGGGAGGGGGGGCTAGAAACATCACAATGCATAAATAAGAAATGCCACAATGTAACATCCAAGTAGAGACATGGAAGACCTAAGGAAACCTGGAGAAAGAAAGTAGAAAGGGAAATGAACGGGTGTAAAACAACATGGGATACCATAGGCAGAAAAGCAGCAGACCAGCAACAATTGAGATCAGCTGTGAATAACTGACGTGTCAACAGTGACTTGGCGGGGAAAAACATTCCAACAACCCTGATCAGTGCAATACAGAGTTTCTACAAAAGCTGCAGAAATTATGTAAGAACAGCAGACCAAAAGTCAGAAGAATTTAAGACCACCAGCAGTGTTAGACAAGGTGATATTCTCTCACCTTACCTCTTCATTCTTATGATGGATGATGTCATCAAGACCTGTAAGGAGAAGACAAAGAAGTACTCAGTAGGATACTGGAAGATGAGACCAGTCTGTATATCAGAGCTGGCATTTGCAGATGATGTGGCCCTGATAGCTAAATCAGAGGCACACCTTCAGTCCAACTTACTTGTCTGGAAGGAAGAGCTTGAAAAGAGAGGGATGACCATCAGTATCTCCAAAACTAAAACCATGGTGATCTCAAGAGAGGAGAAGAAACACCAGATCATGATGGGACAGTGTGCATTGGAGCAGGTTAACCAGTTCAAATACCTTGGAGTTGTATTAGACCGAAATGGAGGCATTAAGATTGAGCTGGCTACACGAAAAGCAGCTGCTGGGAGACTCTTTAAGGCCATAAACCGAGGGTTTCTTAGCAAAAGAGAAATTGGCAAGAGGACAAAAATGGCTGTTTTACGACGCTCTATCTACCTATGTACCAGTCCTGACCTATGGGTTGTGAGTCATGGGCAATGACAACAGCTCACAGAAGCCAGCTGCAGGCCTGGAAATGTGATATCTGAGAAAGTTTGGTCCAAGTGAAAAGAAGGGACAAAGTCCGACAAACAGACAATACGTCAATGATCTTGATACCCAGTCCTTATTTACAAACCCGAGTGGATCAGTCAGTTACATGGTTTGGACATGTATGCAGAAGGGAGAAAATCGGCCACCATGGCAGGCACGGGGGCTAAAGAACCGCGGGGAACCAGACCTCCAGGACGACCCAGGGTGCACTGGGAAGACAACATCTGACAGTCCCTAACTGACAGAGGACTGGAATGGAACAAAGCCAGAAAGAAAAACTGCTGATGGAGACTCTCCTGGCGATCTCTCTGGCAAACTCTACACCCAAAGGTAAGAAGAGGAGCAGACTACAGTAAGTAAGTAAGTCAACAGTGACAGGAAGAGGG